TCCCCTGAATTTTTTTTTTGGTCTAGCCTATATATATATATACATATTTCACTATATCTATTACAGTTTGAGTCTTGTTTCTGCACAGACAGAATATAGTCTTCGGATACTTCCTCTTCCTCTCTCACAAGAAGATGATTTCCATTATATTTGTCTAATTAAGTCATTCTCCAATGGGGATAAGGGGAGATTTTGCCCCTCAGGGGACATTTGCCAATGTCTGGAGACTTTTGGTTGTCACAGCCTGGTGGGGGATGGGAGGCTACTGGCACCAGGTGGGTAGAGACCAGAGATGCTGTTAAGCATTTACATACTCAAGGTGCATTTGTAAGCAAAGAATGTGATGCACTCCCCCAACAAAGAATTATCCAGACCACAATGTCAATACTGCTGAGGCTGAGAAACTCTTACCTAATATCATCAGTTAGAGGAAAGAGTGAGATCAGAGGAGAGAATGAGTTGTTCCCAAATGATGAACAATTTAGGAAATGGTACAAGTGAACTCTCCACATAAAACGGAATTGGGAAAGGAGTTGAAAGAGCTACCAGCATTCAGTCCTTAACGTTGGATGTGACAATAGCAATCTCATATAACCTACTAGTTGCTTTGCTTTTCAGTGATCATTGGTAAATCTTTCAAGACTTAATTTTAGTAAGTGAAACCTAATGATTTATAAAAATGCATTAAATTTCTTAGGGCTGTATCTACACTTACAAGTTTCTTTCTCATATCATTGCTAGCAGGAAAAATTATGAGCTGTTTTGGAGGAGTATGTATCAACCATTCTTGCCTATACTTCGTCATAGTAAATTCATTAGTCCATCTAAATTTTGTTTAATTAGAGTCATATTTAAAAGAATCACATGGCAGTTTCTAGTTTTTAAAGATATGAACATTGATATATTGGCTTCTCTGGCCTGGCACACAGTAAGTGCTCAATAAATACTTTTCAACTGAGCTGACATCTTTCTCTTTTTAAGTGGGAATCCTAAGTTCAAAGAAATGTCTTTTGAAGGTCACTGTTTTGTTTTGTTTCTAGGGGAGGTTATTAAGATTTATTTACTTACTTACTTACTTATTTACTTTTAATGAAGGTACTGGAATTGAACCCAGGCCCTCATGCATGCTAAGCATGCACTCTGCCACTGAGCTGTATATACTTTGCCACCGAAGATTACTTTTTTTAGTAGAAAATGATTGGAGCTGTTAAGGATCACCAGGTTCCCCTAAGGAAGTTGTTCATAATCAGTGGCCCTAAAGGAACTCTAAAGAGATACTTTCTCCATTAATCTTCTGACACTGTAATCTTCACACATAGAAAGTTATCAGATGACTGTGGACCATGGTAAATGCTAGCACATTCTGATGCATAGATTATGTGGTTTAGAGGTTACCTGAAAATCTTTTAGAGGTCTTTGGTGTACTGTCCTGTGGGGGATAAGAAAGGTGGGGTCAGCATTGTTTGGAATCTGAAGACCACGTAGGTGCTCTGAGTTTTGGCAAGGCCTCGGCCCACCACCAGCGTTCTTCAGAAGTGGTTTCTGCACTGTCCCCACTGCAGAGAGAGCCAATTTCTAGAAGTTTTTTTTATTTAATTAATTAATTAATTAATTAATTTTTAGTGAAACGTTGTGAGGAATCTCAATTTATAAAACAAATGAAACTGGAGTTGCTTTGCTTATAACAGGGGATGGTGGTGGCCGAGAGCTCAGAGCCCCATTCATCTCTCTCTGTGTCAGTCCGTGCTTCCGCCTTGGGGGCCCCGTGCTCCCTAGCGCATTTTCTCTTCATCAAGCAATACCACCTAGCCCCGGGCTTAGGGGATCAGTCCCATCTAAGAATGGGTATAATAGTGTCTAATTCAGAAAGTTATTTAGAGGATTGAATTGGAAAACATATGTTAAGCTTAGCATAAATCCTGGCACAGAGTGAACATATATATCATAAAGGTTCCTTTTTCCTACAGTGACCCTCAGCTGTCTGTCACCAGGAGCTCTCAGGCAACCAGGTCCATAATAAAGGCATCCATTGTGGGTGAAATTCAGGAGGTGCTGATAAAGCCAAGAAAAGTAACTTCTTGGCCGTGAGATTGATCTGAAACACTGTAGGTCTGGGATGAGTCAGCCGAGTATCCACACATGATGTTCACGGGCCTTGGAGTAAAGAGAGCGAAGCAACTCGGTTAATGAGAAAGCTGTGTAAATTCATCATCGAATTTCATGGCCATGCCAGTTAACTAATTTATTACTATACAGTCAGAATTCAAATACTCTGGAGTTGCCTGGGGATATTTTAAAACATTTAGATTTAAATAAGTCCGAAAGGACTTCTTAAAAGCATTCTGAAAGACATATTTGGAGAGTAAAATTAAGAATAAAATAGCTTAATTCCCAGTAGTTGGCAGGGTTGGGAGTGATGCAAGCAAGCCATAGTGGAATCTTCATAGAACATGGAGGTGTGGACAGTCAGCCCAAATTTTTCGAAGAGAAATAGCTGAATGTGTGACAGAATGCTCATGAAAAGCAATTAGGACAAACTGATAACGTAAAAGCCACTTTTGTGATACAAGTCTGTAGCAGAACGCCAGCCAGTAGAATATAATGTTTTAGGAGCAGTGGGAAAGAATATTGTCAGTGAGACAAGGAAGAGTGGGGTTGTTCTGATTCTCCAGGATTCCACGGGAATCTGATAACTCAGAAATTATTACAAAATGGAAAATTGATATATTTAATATTAAACCCTAGGAATTAACTACAGACCAGTTTAACTATGTATCTCTTCTTTTTAGTTTTTCCTAACTAAAGTGTTTTCATTTTTGTTTATTTTGTGTTGTTGTAAATGGAAAAAGTTAAGATGCTCCCCTCCTTACCCCACCAATCCAACCCTGTATAATGTAACCATTGTTTACATATTTTTTTAAACAAAAAGGGGCTGTACTCTATAACTGTGTTGCCACTTGCTTTTTCACTTACGATATCTTGCATATCACTATAGATGGGTGGTTCTCAACTGGGAGCAGTTTTGCCCTTCGGGGGGCAATGTCCGGAGACATTTTTTGATTGTCATGACTGAAGAGGGGAGGGAGGTTGCTACTGGCATCTAGTAGGTAGGGGCCAGGGTTACTGTGAACATCCTGCAATACAAAGGACAGCCCCGACGGCAAAGAACTATCTGTTCCCAAATGTCAATATAGCTGAAATTGAAAAACTCTGTTCTAGGTCAGTACACATAAATCTAATGCATTGTTTTAAAAAGCTTCATAATGTTTTGTCATATGGTAGATCATAATTTATTCAACTAGTTTCCTATTGATAGCTATGGCTTCTTATTTAGTGGTGTGATCATATTTAATATTAAGAAGCCAAATGCTCCAAGTTATAATTCATTTGTTTCTTTAAAGAGCACAAAGAAGCCTTATCAGAAAGACTCAAAAGAGGAACAGTTAAGAATTCATAGGTTTGTGTATAAAATTAGATTCTGGGTCACTGTGAGTCAGGAGAATTTGGTTTCCATAAAGTCACAGACTCACTCTAAATTGACAAGTCTGACAGCAAGTCATTTGAAAAGCATGTCTTCATTTTTTTGATTCTTTGGAATTAAAAAGGAGATGAAGAAGAAGAAACAGAAGAAGAGGCAACAGCAACAACTCAAAAGCCCTTTATATGACTGCCAGAAACAAAGAAGGCTACTTTTGAAGTGACGGCAGTGGCTTTCAGAGAAGCTAATTCTGATTATCTCTACCTCCTCCTTATACACATTTAAAAAAATTCATTAGTGCATTAAATCAGGGTGGGTTGAACGGAAGAAAGCAAAGCAGGTTTAAGAAGGAAAAAGGGATATCCAATTCTAAAGACATGGAATGACTTCCAGATGCTGATGACAATGCAATTTAGAATTGGGATGACCCTCTGGTTAACCACAGAGGGTTTTACAGAGAGGGTGCCCTGAGGCAAGCAGATGCTTGCTCTGTGCTTCTCTGGCCCATCCTCTCTCCATGTCCTATGCCTTCCTGGGAGGATGAAATAGAGAACTGATTCTGCCCTTCTCACAGAGCTGGGGGAAGGGTAGGAACCAGCACTGTGAGCGAGGGATGGCAGACCAGTTGGTGAGCCTCCACCCTTTTCTTTGTCATCACTGTCCTCAGTAAGAAGCTGAGTTGGACGTTTATCTTCCCTTAGCTGATAGTCTTTTATTCCACTTAGTTAAGTCATCCTCTGATAGCTCTGCAGAGCAATAGACTGGGACAGGTAATTTGGGCTTTGTGCTTTTGGCCTTTTCACTTCCTGGCACGTGTCCTTATAGTTAATAAATTAGTAGAGACCGTTACCCTGGAATAAGTCAGATCGCCCAAAATGCAACAACTCAGATCTGTCTCAGGAACTGCTAGCACTATAAATTGATTGATATTTTAATTGAGGTATAATGGACATATAATACTGTGTTAGTTTCAGGTACACAATATAATGATTCGCTATTTGGATATATTGTGAAATTATCACCTCAGTGAGTCTAGTTAACATTAGTCATCATATAGTTACAAAAAAAATTATTTTTCCTGTGATGAGGACTTTTAAGATCTATTCTCTTAGCAGCTTTCAAATATGCAAATGGTATTTATTTATTTATCATTTATTGAAGTATAGTTGATTTACAATGTTTCAGGTAGGCAGCAAAGTGATTCAGTTATACCTAAATATAGCTATTCTTTTCTGTATTCTTTTCCATTATAAGTTATTACAAGATATTGGATATAGTTCCCTGTGCTACACAATAGGTCCTCGTGGTTTATCTGTTTTATATATAGCAGTGTGTATCTGTTAATCCCCAATTATTAACTGTAGCCACCATGCTGTGTATTACATCCCCATGACGTATAGATTTTATCACTGGAAGTTGGTACCTTTTGACCCCCTTGACCCGTTTCATTCCCAGCCCCCGTGAGTGCATTGATGTTTGGGAAAACTAAAAGAGCATCCCCCCATCGCTGTCGCCCCTCTAGGATCAGAGCCACACTCAAGTGTCACAGTACCGTCAGGACCCCTCCCTGATCATGAGGTCCATCGTCCACATGACGGATGCCGCTCGCTCTGGGATCATGCCTCCTGCCCAGCTCACCACCATCAACCAGTCTCAGCTCAGCGCCCAGCTGGGGTTGAATTTGGGAGGTGCGAGCATGCCCCACACGTCTCCTTCACCTCCAGCGAGCAAATCGGCAACCCCCTCCCCTTCCAGCTCCATCAATGAAGAGGATGCGGATGAATCCAACAGAGTAAGTTAACTGCCTTTAGAATATAACCTACAATTTGGGATCACCCATGCTTACGTCTTTGAATTTCATCGTCACAGTATTACCTCCTTTTTCTTCCTGGGTTGAAATAGCTTTTAAATTTATGACAGTTTGATTTTTTTTCCCTTCACTCTTTTATATTTATTTCTTTTCTTTGGAAAATGTATTAAACTGGAAGTTGGGAGATCTGGCTGCTCCTACTAGGAGTAAGGTATTGAGCAAGCCACTTACAGGCATAATTTTCCTAATCGGTAAAGAGGAAGGCTTGCACTGGACTTTTCAGAAGTTTCAGCTGCTCTGATTCTTAGATGATGTCCATGTGGGCGTGTTTCACCTAGTTAGTCAGCTAACCTGCAGCCACATGTGACAGTCTTGCACCTCTGATGATGCTTATTGCTTAGTAAGTTTCTTTCATCTTGCATCTTTGCTTTTGTCAGGGAGATTATATATTATTCAAATAGACATTATTCAAAGTAAAAACTTAGTTTCAGGCTTTTCTGAAGGCCTTTAAAAGTATTCTATTTCATTCAAATTACTTATTCTAGGTGCACAATTCCTCATTCCTCATTCATCAATTATGCGTCGTACACTTACTCTGTGCTTAGCATTTTACCTGGTTCAGGTGATACAAAGATTTACAAGAGAATTACTGCCCCTGGGACTTCCCCTTGGGAACATGTGGCAGCGCCAGATGTGATTAGTGGTATAATTGATGTATCTGGTGTGCTGAGCCCGTCATCGATTCTGTTTAGGAGAGTGATTTGAGGAAGACTTTACTGAGAAGGTGATGTTTGAATTAGGTCTAAGAGGATACATAAAACTTTGTGACGCAGAAGAGAGAGGCCAGCATTCTGGGAGAGGGAGCAAGTGGAAGTGCATGCCCGTTTATGGGTATCGCGAACAGTGTGACGAGGGGGGGGAAAGAAACAGGAATTGAAGAAAGAAGTGGCTGAAAGGTGGGAACCTTTCCCCGGCTGGTAGTTGAGAGCTGATGAGTTATTTGCATAGTGGAATGGCATAAGCAAATTTATGCTTCAGAAATATAACTTGAGCTGTGTATAGAATGTGTTCCAAAGAGAGGGACCAGAGAAAAGATCCTTTTATGAAGTGTTTCCTTTTATTTTTAACGAAGAAAGGAATGGACAGGAGGTACCAGATTAGTGAGACATTCAAGAAGGAGAATCACTCGTTAAGGTTTGATGATCCCCTGGAATTTGAAGGAGTAGAAGATACACCAGGTTTTAGTTTGGGAGCCAGAAGGGATACGGGTAATGAGAAGATAACCCGGAAGGGAGGATTGTTTTTCGTTTGTTTGTTTGTTTTTCCCCATAGGGAAGATGAGAGTTGGACATGGTAGGGGCTGGATCTGAGATGCTTCCATTTGAGTCTAGAACTCAGTCCGTTGGAGATGAAACTATAGATTTGGGGGCCCTCAGCACATCAATGTGAAGACATAGAAGTGACCGGGATTTCTCAGAGTGTGTAAGGAGCAAGTCAAGGCCAGAACCTCGAGCATCACTTACTTTGACCTTGAGCATCATTATTTTTAAATAGAAATGGAAGAAGAGGAGCTGGGGAGGTTTGTGAGTGATAAAAAGAGGAGAAATGTTGCAGGGATTTTCAGCAGGAACGTTTGGTCCACCCCGTGATGTGAGCACCCCACTGCACACAAGGTGGGGAAGTGTGCTGCCAGTCTCTGCTCGCACTCGTAAGGGCAGTGGGGTGAAGTGGGAAATAATAAAGAAACTCAAGGGATGTGTATGAGATATAGCTGGCTATTACACAATTCAAGTGGATTCCTTTCACTTCACTCAAATTCCCACTGATCGTAATACTTACTTCTGTATCAATCTGAAATTGTCCCATCCGAAGAGAACCTTTTATGTGACTCCTAGCTTGCTCCATTTTAAGTCACGGTCTAGGTTTTGTGTAAAGACAAGGAATCCAGTTTATCAACGGCTTAGCTGAAAAAGGAAGATTAACATTAGTGTTGATTATGTCTTTGGGGTAAAGCTATTTCTCCGTTTTTCGCAGCCCTTTGAGTCAGCTACGTGAAAGTTTCTTTCGGAGAATTAATTCTGAGCTTTTATTTAAACTGTGAAATTCCTCATTTCGGGTTTATTCGTAAAAGGTAATGACGATTAGGTCAGGTCGTGGTTATCCAAAAAAGACGTCAGAGGCTGTCAACATTTGAATGCTGTTTTGCGAAGAATGAAATTAAACTCCTCTTCTTTGGAAAAAGCTGTACTGGAAATTACTTTCATCTTGCCATTGGTCGGAGTATTGTTGATGCAACCAGTGCCAAATTCTCTTCCAAGAATAGAGTTGTTTTACTCAATAAGAAAAATCTGTGTCTATGTATTTTTTCTTGTGGCTAAAGTAATATTTTTTCACTGAAGGAAAACTTGGCTCCAATTGAAGCTCTAACCGAAAGACATCTGACTCCCTTGCAAGTTCAGATTCATTAACTAGAATTTAACAAGTCTCGCTTATTCTGAGGATTTAGAAAAAAAGGCTATGAGGTCTACAGAATTTTATTGGATTAATTGTGTGAGTTATAAAAGACGGCATTTAGGAGGAGAGACGAGATCTAGCTTAACACCTACTGAGGTCTGTAAACTACTTGTATAAAGTATGAGTGTGGTTACCACTCAAATAATGAAAACAGTAGGCCCACCAAGAAGGAGGCTGCCAGTTTCCTAACACCAGGAGGGTTCAGAGCTCTCAGAATTACTTATCAGTTTCCTCGCTAAGAATTCCAGTAATTGGGTTAAGTTCCAAATGACCCTTCTTCAGCAAGTAATGATGTTCTTGGAAAATTTGAATTAAGATTCAAGACTCAAGGCCATTAAAAGCCAATCTGTTAGTAACTTGAATCTATCTCTGTTGATCTTGCCTAAGGCTGGCTTTTAAAACAGATTTTGTCAAACACTGCAGCGTTCTTGATGAAGTTAACTGCAGAATTGTCTTCAACAGAGTCATGTTATAATCTAAGGGGGATAAAACAAGGTTAATCAATCATTTCCCCTGCTTTTCTGTTGAGTATGTTTTTGATTGTTGAAATTAGATGCTGGTAGCAGGTGAATATTGGAGCTCAGTGGTATATAAATTTGGGGAACTGTACCCATGTTATTTCTATGGTTTTGATTTCGGACAGCGTGTGATTTTCAGAGAGTGTGAACCTCTGTATGTCAGTATTCTTGTGGGCAGGGTTACTATATGTAATAATAAATGTCTTCTTATTAGTCTTTTTTTAGCCTTGGTGATTTTAAGTATCTACTGTTGCTGCTGTTTGACAGGTTTTTAATTTTATGAAGAGTATCAATTTCCTTTCTAGTTCTAGTTAGAATTTTGACATTTGTACATTTCCTGTTATCCTATTCTTTAGAAAGTTTTCATTGTTTTAGGAAATAAAGATGACCTTTCCCTTATTGTGAAACCTAGGAATTATAGCAGATTTCCATTTGCGTTTCCGGAGACCATCAGCAGAGTAACATGTGGTAAAAATTAAAAAAAAAAAAAAAAAACAAGCCTCAAAAAAAATCAATTCAGACTGATCATACATATGGTATGTGTCTAAAGCAAGGGACCTCATTTAAAATATCTGAATATGATCAACATCCTGAATATTATTTAAGTTTACTTCTAAAAACCTCTGAAAATGTAAAATATTTTGTTTATAGGTACGTATGTAGCATGGCATATAGAGAGCGAGCATTGCCTGGTACGGAGTGTTCTGTTTTTCATTACTCATAATTGCTATTTAGAGCATATGTTGCGAATGTATTGAGGATACTTCTGGGTCTCATTAATCAATGTTCTAAATGCTAATGTCTGCTGTCCAGTTAACTCTAAGCAAGTTTGCCCCTCCCCCGCTTTTGGGGGTGATTCATCTGTGCATGATGTTTAACAAAACCTTAAAAGAACAATTGTAAGCCCGAGTAAGTCTTTCTGCATTCTCGGCCAGTACATTCTAGGCAATGAATTTTCTTCCTGCTTTTACAGGCCATTGGAGAGAAAAGAGCTGCTCCAGATTCTGGCAAGAAGCCCAAGACTCCAAAGAAAAAGAAAAAGAAAGACCCCAATGAGCCACAGAAGCCAGTGTCAGCATATGCCCTGTTTTTCAGAGACACGCAGGCTGCAATTAAAGGTCAAAACCCCAACGCCACCTTTGGAGAGGTCTCAAAAATCGTAGCGTCTATGTGGGACAGCCTGGGAGAGGAACAAAAGCAGGTGAGGCCAAGATCCGTGGCAGCTGTGTTGTGAAACGTCATACCAGAATATTCCTTACCCCTTTCCTGAGTGATTGCTTCTTGATATGATTGCTTCTCATGAAAGCCTGTCTAAGCAATGGCATTAAAAAACCCAAACATAGGAGTCCAAACCACTCTCCAGGTATATGGCTTTCTCAGTTCCCTGAAGGGTGCGTGTTCAGAGCCCATTCAGAAGAGAGTTGGAGGAGATCCAGGCAGTATCCTGCAAGCATCAACTTTTGATGATCATCTTTTCATTTGAAATAACGTGGAATTTTTTCCTCCTTCGTTCAAGGAGGAAATCTTGCTTGCCTTTCTTTGATCATCTTTCTGAACCCTTGTGCTGTCCTGGTGGGTCTCCAAACTTTGAAGCTGTCTCTGCGTGTCTCATTATTGTCCTTGGGCATTTGAAATTTTATTCCAAGTTCATTTGAAAGCTCAGCAGTAATGAGAGGTATTGAGAGATTAGCCATGCTGGTGGGAGATACTTCCTTAAGGTCTAGCCTCCCGTCTCTCCCCAGGCAAGTCCTCCACACCAATGGAGAGAAGAATGACTTCCTCGGGGCTCAGTCCTCCCCTGGCTCCTTGCGTGAAACTCCAGTGACTATTCAGAGGAGTGAACTTTACACATCCTCAGAATAATAGACCCCTGTCAGTAATAAACCAGAATAATTGTTTCAGGAACTAAGAGTGAAAAACCCTTGGTTTTCTTTCCTTTTCTTTTTTTCTTTCAAAACAAATCATGGATTCGTTCCTACTCGCTGCTTACCTTGGGATGGTGCAGCTCTAGAATTTGCCTGTTTTTTTGCAGTGAGCTTCATGCTATATGCAGCAGACTGATTTTTCTACCCCAGGAATGTAATCCCAAAGCTGCATCTAACTTTTAAATTCTGGAGGAAAAGAGAGTTGCGCTTTGGTATAACAGCCAGCCATCAGACCGCTGTTAAGAAAAGGAAGCCCACATCACGTTCAATATATTGGTATTTGTTTATGTAGCCACTGGTCTCACTAATGGGTAATCTTTCATCTTTTACTATTTCTGGCTTGTTTTCCTCCAAAAGAAAACCCAGGTTGAAAGGCCTCTGTCTTGTCTGTCTTCGCACACTCTCTCTATCGTTGGTTTTTTCATCCTCTGATTTGGTGCGTGTGTGTGAGAGAAAGAAGACACTGATGGAGAAACTCGTTAACTTTCTATCGTTTAAACCATTTGCCGCAAATTTCATTCTTGTTGCCTTATTTACAGCCTGAGCATGAGGTCCTCAGCCGTTACTCTTAAGAAATCTGTGCTGCAACCTGAAATCTTTCTCTTGTTCGCCATAGTTAACATCAAAGTTGTGCTCCAGCGAGGGCGGCGGGGTGCCGTTTTGTTTTAATATCTGTGTGTGTATGTTTCCGTTTAAAAGTCAAAGCCGCGGAGACCAACTTTATAAGTGAGTTCTGTTGCAACCTAATTTGCACAGCAGTTATTTTATGGCTGCGAATTTGTATGCTAAAGGTGGTGCTAATTGTGGTCTTTTCATAGGTATATAAAAGGAAAACGGAAGCTGCCAAAAAAGAGTACCTGAAGGCCCTGGCCGCGTACAGGGCCAGCCTCGTTTCTAAGGTAAACCCAGACAGGGGCTGCCAGTCTCTGAGAGAATCACAGTCTTGAAACAGCCATGGAGCATTCAAAACAGAAATGCAACTCCTCTTAGAGTTGATTAAAAAAAAAAAAAAAAAAACCACACACATCTTGGACAACTCAGAAACTTACTTGTTCTCAGTAGAGATCACCAGAATGATGGCATGAAAAATAAGAGTTAATTTAAGCTGCAGAATCTAAATTGTTTCCAAAAGATCCACTGATCTCTATGTATGTATGTTGAAGCTATTTAGACAATTTTTTTTTAGTATATGTATACTTTATTTCTAAGTGGAGGTACTGGGATTGAACACAGGACCTCATGCATGCTAAGCATGTGCTCTACCACTGAATTATAACCACCCCCCACTTAGGCAAATCTTAAACAGCCTCTTGTTCTTTCTTCTTTTTGGGGACTGACATCTGTGGTAATGTCCTCTATTGAAACTGGGAGGTATGGCTGGCAGTTTTGGATATCGGATCATAAATTCTCAATGGTTACATTATTGTAATAGGGGATGTTACATTTTTTGACCAAACTGTTCCACATCCTATAAATAAATAAACCTCATGATTATTTAAAATAAAATTATGCTCCAAGTACTTTTAAAAAAAGACATGTATACATGTTTTATACATAGAGTATACAATGGACTCTGATGTGTTATAAAATGCACCAGTATCCCAAAGCACATGTCTTTCTGGATTATTATTACCTTGATCCAGAAGGAGCATGAGCTATTACCTTCTATTTTAACATTTAATTGACTTTGTCCTTAGCCTCCCTAGAATTTAGAGAGGCTTTGGGGAGGATAATTTGAGCTCATGTTCTTGCTCTTGCTGTATCTCCTCTGGCAAACAGAGATTCCGTTTCATTGTCAGTGTTTTTTGCCTTAAAGTACCACATAGGGCCTCCAGGCATGGTCAGTGATGCTGGCAAAGCTATTTTTAAAAGGTTTATCCTTTTTTCTCTTCTGCACCTGAGTTGTTTCTTCCTTATATTAAGATCTACCATTGGCATCTGCTCAGAAGCAGATCCAGAGAGGTCCTCCTGTCTTTGACAGCTCTTAGGACACTTCCCACTTCTTGAGAAAGAAAACATTCGTCAGGTCAATAGCAAAGCCTTTTTCTGACACTCTGGAAGACACACACTGAGAGATACACCCATTCTGGATGCAGATTTGCACGTTGGTAGAAAACAACTGAAGGTGTGGGCCACAGATGTTAAGAACTGAGATGTATGTGATGGCTAATTAGACAAGTGACATGAATAGAGTAGCAGTGTGCATGTACTTTTTAAGTGGACCATTTATTCATTCATTTACCCAGAAGCAGGTATGGGTGATCTTCATGCATTAGAGCATGAATAATTGACCGTACATGGATTTAAGCCAAGAGCCAGTAACTCAAAAGGCATTCTAGAAAGAGCATCCAGGACTGGGCTCATTGGGTCTGTGACTGATTTAGAAGGGATTGTTTAAACATTTTACATCAGGTACTAAAATCCGGATTCAAAAACATTTCCAAGTGGAATTCACTGACTCCAAAAAACCAATAGGATGGAATTAAAAAAAAAATCTAACATACTGTTTGTTTGAGGGGTTTTGTTTTTGTTTATTCATTAGGTAAGTGCAGTTGAGAGCACTCTAAATTTATAGTCAGAGACATGGCAGACAGCTAAAATAGTCCTTGAGGTATGACTTTAGAATAATTTCAGCCTGAACCCAGTGTAAAATGGCTGCTAATCTGGTGATCTCACAGGAATCAGCACCTAATCCTACAGCTTGATGATGAGACCATCTCTGAAGTTCTCTCTCTCGCTCTTTTTCTTTTTTTTTTTTTTGGGGTTCCCCGCAATTTAAGGGGGAATGATGACTAAATTGAAGGCCTCTCCAGAGGGTTGCCTCCACACCTGAGAGTCGAACCATATTCAAATAATCAAAAGAATCATGAAAGTGAGGATTTGGGGGCATGTGATTTGGGTCCTCAGATGTAAGCACCATCATGTAAGGGGAGCCTAAGTTTGGTCTCTGTACCCTGGATAGAAGCAGTTGTCCAAGGAGTGAGATTACAGGGAGGAAGATTTCAGCCTCAACCTTAGAATAGTAAACAGGGCTGCATCACATGTCCATTTAACTTACGTCTCTCGATCTGGAGCCTAGGACTCCCTGCCTTAAGATGTGACTCTACTATCACTTCCAATCTTCACAAGAAAATTAATAGAAGCTTAATATTAAGCCCCAAGGGAGTAGACCTGGCAGGCAAGTGGGACCTCTTCACAGGGAACCAGCCTTTTTCATTCTCCACTCGGGGGCATCTTAAAGGCACAGTGGTGTCATTGGCCAGGTGTCTATACATAGACTTCCTCTGTAGTTTCATCCTTAAGATTGGCTTGGTGATTTTTAAATATTCGAGTACATAAAAATAATGTTCATATTTATGTGTAGAAAACTGTGTATTCTACTTAGTGGGCGATTTAATGGTAACCATGAGTATTTGCAGGTTTCTTCTTACCCAAGACTTTAGAACATGACCCTCCAGTAACATGCAGCCCCCTTGGGCTTTTGCACAAAAAAGGGACAGAGAACCGTCTGGTAAGGTGCTCAAACAGAAACCATCAGCGATGACTTTTCCTACCTTGTGTGACTCTTCTTGTAAAGTCACTCCTCAGATTTCTTCTAATGGTAGATTTTATAAATGTGAGTAATAAAAATGTAGAAGTACACATTCAAAATCATTAAAGAGAGTGGATGGCAGCTTGATGCCTCCAAAGTTCCCCCATAACCTCCCTCCAAAAACCTCTAATTTTCTGAAGAATAAGAGAAAAAAAATTGTCTTTAAGAGGACTCATTCCAATCACTGTTGCATTAGTAAAATAATTTATTTTGTGGAGGTAATTATGTGTTTTTAGCACAAAATGTATTAGGCAGTTTCTCCCCATGTTGTGCCCCAGGTCGTTTTCCTTGTAACAGATTATTCAGTCACACAAATGTTGAACATTCTCCCCTTACCTGTGACTCCTTTGATACATTCTGGAAATCTCTGAAAATCTTTGGTAAACTAAAATATTTCTAAAGTTGTAAAGTACTTCAATTTAGTGTCTCTAAATATTCAAATGAGCACTGTTATAAATAATCTTGCAAATACCAGGCTTTGAAATTTTCTAGTCAGAGTCATTTTCTGGTAGTAGTAATTGTTAATTAATCAAAATAGCTAACATTTATGAAATGCTCTCTGTGGGCCAGGTGCTGCTCTAAATGCTTAACAAATATGAGTTAATTTAATTCTCACAGCCTCTACACAAGCTATAAAACCCCATTTTATAGATACGGAAAGCAGGGAACAGATGGGTGAATTAACTTGCCCAAAGTCACAAAGTTGTTGAGTATCAGAGCTAGACTTGAACTCAGGCAGTCTATACCCTATTGTCTTTCAAACTGATTCTTGGTGGTGAGGTTAGTTTAGACTTAAATGCTGAAGAACTGTTACTCTTAAATATGTGTATCAGTTATCTTTTGCTACAGTAGCACTGTGTAACAACCAGCCTCAAAACCCAATAACTCAAAAAGATAACGTTCATCTCAGAGAGTGCCAGTAAACCAGCTGGGTCTTCAGAGCTAGGCCAAGGTTGGCAGGATCAGCCAGTCTTGCTCACCTGTATGCAGTCAGCATGGGGGGTTGGCACTGGACTCATACACATAAATGGCAATTGGCTGGCTGGCAGTGAACTGGCTCTTGAGTGGGGTAACAGGGCCACATGTCTGTCATCAGGTTGTGGCAGGTGCTGAGGGAGACAGACAGACAGACAGACTTTGAGAACTCACTTCCATCACATTCTGTTGACCAGAGCAAAGGCACCAATCGGGCCAGCCTAGATTCAAAGGGTGGGGAGTTTGCCTCCACCTCTGGGGGGGAGCTACAAAGTCATGTGACAAAGTGCTTGGGTTCAGGGAAGCATGAATAATGGTGGCCATTTTTGTCATCAATTTACAAGACTTAAAAATACTCAAATCTTCTCCCCCAAATTCAGGCTGCCGCTGAATCAGCAGAAGCCCAGACCATTCGTTCTGTTCAACAAACCCTGGCGTCCACCAATCTGACACCCTCCCTCCTTCTCAGCCCCCCGCTGTCTCAACATGGAACAGTGTCGGCACCACCTCAGACTCTCCAGCAATCGCTCCCCAGATCAATCGCTCCCAAACCCTTAACCATGAGACTCCCCATGAACCAGATTGTCACGTCGGTCACCATTGCAGCCAACATGCCATCGAACATTGGGGCTCCGCTGATCAGCTCCATGGTTGGCTCAGCATCCTCCACCCAAGTGAGCTCTTCGGTCCAGACCCAGCAGCATCAGATGCAGCAGCAGCAGCAGCAGCAGCACCAGATGCAACAGATGCAGCAGCAGCAGCTCCAGCAGCACCAGATGCATCAGCAGCTCCAGCAGCAGATGCAGCAGCAGCATTTTCAGCACCACATGCAGCAGCACCTGCAGCAGCAGCAGCAGCACCTGCAGCAGCAGCTCAGCCAACAGCAGCTGCAGCAGCAGCTGCAGCAGCACCTCCAGCTGCAGCAGCTGCAGCACATGCATCAGTCCCAGCCTTCTCCGCGGCAGCCTTCCCCCGTCACCTCCCAGATGACGTCCCCCGGCCCCGCCATTGGGAGCCCCCAGCCAGCCTCTCAGCAGCACCAGTCGCAGATACAGTCTCAGACGCAGACTCAAGTATTATCGCAGGTCAGTATTTTCTGAAGATGCACGCGGCAGGCGGGTTTGCGCATCTTGGGGGAGAGTGGCGTCATCGGAGGGTAAACCACATGTGGCTGAAACTCGGAAGTCGGTGTTGGTTATGCAGAAATGTGTAACAGACCACGCGGTCCTCTCAAGTGTCTATTAGATAGGCAATAAGAACTACAGTGTAGCTGAAAATCATCTTCTAGCGGACTCTAAATCACTTTGTTTTTAAACAAGAAAAGCTGTGCTCTTTTATGTGATGCCTTTTTTATTTATTCAGGCTGTACCTACAATATGTGAATCAAACCGTTTAATGAATCCTGGGACATACTGATGACTGTAATAAACTGGCCTCTTTGAGTCATAGCAAATGGCCTTATTTCTCCAGAAGTGAATAAACCACACTTCCAGGTGACTGGAACGTCCGAAGCCCTAAAAATAAAAAGCACAGTCGTAACTACCTGAAATATGAAGAACCAGTTTCATACAAACATTTGTATGACGTCAATCGTTGATGGCATTTTTTTGTCATGAAAAAAAATGTAAATCACAGACTTTTGCCAAAGCTCTTATTTTTTTTCCTTAAATCTCTCCAGAAAAAAAAAAAAATGCAAGTGATTAGATTCAATTATTGACTCATTTTTCACTTTTTACCCATGACTTCTCCAAATCAAACCACAGTATATGTTGGAACAGTATCTATGACCACTGTTAGCCCATTATACTCATGCCAATTAGAAGACAAGAATGTGAATATTATATTCTGTGTTTTGAGTGACAAGTTTCGAAAATTAAAAACACTGTATTTTTAAAAGGGAAATGCACTTAAATGAAAACAGTTATTACAAAAGTTAAGATTTAAAAAAAAAGCAAGAGTTTTTATTATGATGTAATACCGGTAGAATATTTAAAAGGCACACCACATCGGAATAATCAATGTAAATATTTTCTTTCAAAGTTGTAAGTTTTCATATCATGTGTTGTAAAGTTTTCATAAACGAGGCTTTAACGTAAACACTGGTGACACGAACCATTCATTGCTACGTTGCTTCTTGTGTTTTTATGCTGTTTTATACTTTTTTATGAGTTATGATAGCAGCAATTAAGTTGTTTGTATTTTGCTTAACTAAAACAAAAATGCTTTTATCTTGCTATAGAATAAACACATTTCAGTAAAAACCGTGGACTGTATTTTGATGCAACAACCAGGAAACTGTTCACTTTTCAAATAAAATGATATGTTAAATTTCACTTTCGGTTCTTTGAGTATGTAGAAGGTGAGGAAATATGTCCACATACCAACTTGTGTTGGAACCCCAGCATCAGTTTCCATTTTTAGTTGGAAATAAGAGATTCAGAGCTAAGCATTTGGATTGCATGGTCCCAAATCAGGGCCTGTAAAAAAGAAAAGAAGCCATCAGAAATACTTTTATAATTATAATTTTGTTAAGATGCAAGGGAAAGGTAAGTGTAGAGGAGAAAGCAATCATCTCTTTGGGGCTAGAACCAACTGGCATTGTGTTGTTACTGCTATTAAAACGGATGGCGAATGCTAATTCTTAAGCCAAAATAATTATTTCAGTGCCCATTTCTTCCCCCCTTTTCTTGCTCTGTAGTGGCTCCTCTTTGAGAACAGTGTGACCACTATCCCCAGTTGTCTTGCATGATTAATTACAGCATCTGTCCTGTCAGAAGCTATAATGAAGAGGTCTTGATAAAAATTGCAAATTACCACTGGCAACAGTCTTAAACTGCTTATGATAAAATGAAAATTAAAAACAGCAAGTGTCAACCCTGACCAGAATCCTAATCTGGAAAAAAATGAGAGTGTGAGTAGGGGCAGCCATAGTACTGTGTGCAAGACATTCAAAAAAAAAATAATGGAATATGGATTCCTCAAAGTTGTTGTTGTATTTCAAAGAATATTTACTGTACGTAGTGGGCTATGAATAATGAATTCAGCTTTCAATATTTCATAATCCTCTCGTACTCTGTGTTATGTACAAATATTGAACAGCAAGAGCTTCTAATTATAAATTTATAGATTTCTTGCTGTAGAAAAATTTGTGTCTAAATTGAAGCTTTTCATAAGATGTATTAGTTGACAGGTATCAGTGTTCAAACAGTCCAAGGATGGTGCCTAATCATGTCTACAAGGGGGCAACTATATTCCACAAAGAACTGATTCCACGTCAGACCCATCAGAAGCAGAGCTGATGGCGAAAGATTTTTCTGTGAATTGAAACTAACATTACATAACAATAAGAACCATTTTATACTCTGTTGTGAAACCTTTAGACAAATGTCTTCAAAATTAATTGCTAAACTACATGTGACAGTAATTGTGTATTAGTTCTGTAATTGTCATTTTGAAAACCCATGAAGTATTGCTTGGAAAAAAAAATGTCACTAGTGATAAGACTTAATTGCAAATGAAGTCTGTTTTCAACTGGTTTGCAGTTAGAAGCAGGTGTTGTATCATCTATTAAATGATTTTATAAATCTTGAGTTTTATCACATTTGATTAAATGCTGCTAAGCACACTGACGGTCAATTTCAAGGAAAAGAATTGCTTGATGACTAATGGTTTAAAAAAATTAATCACCAGGCAGAACTATATCTTTAAAATGTCGAAAAGGCTTGAATCGTGAAAAGAATTCCCCAGCCTTGTTACCAAATCATTTTTCTCAGGATCTGCTAAAGCATATGATGCATCAACTTGTATTTCCCTTTATCCGTGGGACTGGTTCCTAGTTCTGAGACGTACGTTAAGTACTTGGTGTACTTTTTTGGTTATAGGTCAGAAATAAAGCAGGGTGGTGAAAAATAGACGTGAGAAATGTGGTATCTGATTAGCGGGACACCTAAACAGCCTAAATGCTTTTCCTGCTAAATGGTCCACAGACATTAACGAGGCTCCCCCACGCCCCCTCCCCCATCTCGCACACCTTCTCTCTCCCCCTGCCGTGGGCACAGTATTTTATTACTCTGGCTAAACAGACTCTCGTTTTTGCATTAACCAGTACTGCCTTGCGATGAAAGAACATAAGGAGTTTTCATTTTTAGCTGACACGGGGTCATTAGTTCCCGACTCAAAGAACAAAAGCTTAAATGCCTTCGTGCAGCATAATTTCTGCAATCTATTCCCACCTGATGGAGGTTTGAAGGCTTTCGAGACAGATGGATTAATATCTCAAGTTTAAGTAGAAGTCCTCCGCTGTGTCCATTCAGCGGGCTGCAGACATCTGAATGGTTTCGTTCCCATTTCTCACCCCGTGGAGCATTTTTCAGCACTGGACTTCAATCTAACCTTTCCTTTCCCCCCCTTCTCCCCACCCCTTTTGTTTGGCTTTTGTTTTGCAACAGCTGTTATTATCGTTTTTGGTCAGCTGTGATTGCTGGAGGCAAAATAGGACCAGATGGTGTTTTGCTATGCATGAATGGCGAGTTAGAGGAGTTGGGATTGAATAGGCCAAGTTTGAATGGTGTCTACGCACCACCTGCCTGCCTGAGCTGTGGCACACACATCACAGGAGCATGATCCGCCTCAGACCTACTAGAATCGGATGGGAAAGTGGGGAGCTGGGGTGGATTTTCCCCATGTTTATTGATCTTCCATGCACTAACGGAATAATGCAGTGTACAGTCAATTTGAGTTAATTGGATATGACAGAGCATGGGCGTGCAATCTATCACTCTAGAATTCTGGTTTGCTTTAGATTTCATTGCTCCCTCAGATACACACACACACACACAGAATAATAGCAAAAATTAGTGGGCTAAGTAGGCACAAAATTGTTTAAAATGTCTCTAAAATAGCAGAATTAAGAGTCTAAAGTAAGGATTTGGAAAGGGGAAGATTCTTCAAAATGATATTTGTGTCTGTCAATAATACAAGGCAAAGAAAAGCTATGTTTCTGATACTCGTGGAGAGACTTTATACCTGTAGGTTACCCATCAAATATTTCACACGTAGAAGAAATGTGCTTTGCTAGGAAACTCACACAGATACACGACCAGATTAGAATTCTCTTAGAAAATATGAACTGTAGAAGTCTTTCTCCTCATCCTCTCAAAGACAGCTTTGCTGACTGTCTGAAGTAACCCTGAGATGTGCTTTTTCTGAATCTGAAAGCTGGTGAATGAGTTTAACCCATGTCGATTGTGATCCTACAGGTGTGTGGGTCGCGTGTGCCGGGGTGTCACCGAGGAAAGCTTAACCACCCAGGAAACATGGAGTGAGATATGCAGACAGACAGCTCCATTTGCCTGAGGCCCTAATTACTTAAATTTACTTCTGCTACATGCAAAACACGATGATAGGTCCCAAAGGAGATGCAAAAATAAACAGGGCCTTCTGTTTGTATACGTTTGAAATTTTCCATAATAAAAGTTTAAAAAAAATAAAATAGAAGCCATTCTTCACTTCAGGAGCTTTTATTTTTCTCTTGTGGTGAGGGAGAGCACCAAGAAACCTGGAACACATGTGGGTTTTGTGTGTGTGTGTGTGTGTGTGTGCTTGATAATCTGAGAAAACTGCAATTTATTTAGAAAGGGAAGAGATTGCAACTGGTTAGGGTATTTGGGAAAGCTGCATGGGATTACTGGCATCTAAGACGTGCCCTGTGGGACTTCACTAGGCTGAGGTGGCCGTCCTCGCCCAGCAGAAGAAGGAGGTGGCTTCTCCGGGCAAGGGTTGAAAGCACAGGCACCAGCAAAATAGCAGTAGAGAACAAAGCAAATTGGACCCATAGTGCTCTGGGGGAGGTGAGCGGGAGAAAGTGCTAGAAGGGAAGTTTGGGGTTAGGTTTGTCGAAGTCCTTGTATGCCCAGCTGGGAACTTGTGCTTAATTCAAAAAGCACTAAGGAAGGTCTGATCAGGGTGGATTGAACGCATGAAGGGTTTTATGTGAGCTTACTTTTGAGAAGGGAGTATCCAGTCGCCACTAAAAGCTGAAAGAAAAATGGAACAAGCTTCCCACTTGAAAATGTATCTCAGTGTTTTAATTATTTACGTAAATAAATAAGGCGATCGCTCCGCGCTCGCTCCCAGACCACTCCCGTCTTCCCGGTACAAGAACACACCCTCGGCAGAGCCGAACCAAGGCATTTTCGGTGCCATCTGCAGAATAAGCCTTATCTTTACATTAGCATCCAGGGGGAGATCATTTTCTGTGTTTCTGCTGTGAGAAAGAAAGCTATTTTCACCACTGGTAAAAAGTACCTCTCGGTGCTTGAACTCAAACGTGATGAATGATAAAAAAGAAGGCCTTGCTTTGTTGCTGAGTAAAACCTCAGGCAGCCCTGGGAGGGATGTTGGTTATGGTCTCAATTTAATTTCAAAGAAGACCCTTCACAGACAGAAAACGCGAATGTGGATGCACACTTCTTAGCAGAGGAATAATGCTCTTTTGTAAAACTTCTCATTATCACTAGCATTTGTATAGTGGTCTGTACTTTTCAAAGCAGTTTTCTGTGGATTAGCTCATTCAGTTCCCTCTCTCGATAGGACGGGAGTGAGCCTCATGGAACAAATTAGGAAACCGAGGCACAGAGAGGGTTATGGCTTGTTCCACTATCTGTTTTGCTTATAAGAGGCACCGTCAGAACTGGCATGGACATTGTCTCCTTCTAGACCTGTTATTTCATTTACCTGCTAATATTTGTATATGTGTCGCATGTATTTTTGACGTGTATTTATCTGTCATATATTGTATGGAAGGAGGTGTAAGTAAATATATGTGTGAATAGACAGATGATAGATATAAATAGATAGATAATAGATGACAGAAATCCATCACAGCACCAAAGAGAATAATTAATCCCTGTTTTCCTCATGGCTAGTCAGGCAGTAAACCAAAGTGAACGCCACCTAGCCTGTGTTCTCAATGGGGCATAATGCCACATGGCACTTTTTCCCGGTGTGAGTACCTTCCAGTCTGATTGCTTCCTCTACCGAGATCTCTCTGGAATTATTTTGTATTCGGGCAAACGGCTTTGACTTGTGGGGTTCAAATGCTGGGGCTGGAGGTGCCACAAAGGTGTGTTTAAAAGGGGGTGGGGGAAGAGCAGGCTTTAGGGAAGATGGAGATGGGTAAAGACCAGATAAGTGTGCATTGTTATCCATTATTTAGGGAATCCAGTGACTCAGTGTTGAGCCTGGGAATTCAATGCAGGAGAGGGGACGCGGCCCCCTAAGGACTGGGGGTAGCCACCCCGGGTACTGCTTCAGGAGTTACCTCTCCATTTCC